CCTAACCACTGACAACTTGGTATATACCACAAGGCTAAAAAGCTCTAGGACTAGAGAAGTCGTTGTGATTGTAGGTCCTTCATATAGGGCTTGAAAACCATTTTCTCTTAGCCAGCATTCTGTAAGGTGTTGAGCTTAAGTGCATTCAAGATTACTCCTTCTGCCAAGTACCTGAAGTGAAGGTATTTTCAGCTGTAAGTTAAATGCAGAGCCACGAAACTACTAACAAATCCCATAGGGTTGTGTTTTGATGAAATAAATAATATGAAGCACATACACACATACAGATGAATATGATACATGTTTATGTTTTTTTAATGAATGACATCATACTAAAATACATTTCAGTAAAAACAATTGTTAAGTAGAGCACATATTCTATGATCCAGTTCTCCATACTCTCACAATATACATTAATCCATGATTGGATTTTAGACTAATATAATGCAGTGATTCTTAAAATGTTTTTAAGTAATATACTACTTTGAAAATCTGATGTAAATCTGATCAATTCCCCAAAATCACAAATAGAATTTCTGGGAATACCCAGAAAATTCTAAGTATCTTATAAAGCCTAACCACTGACAACTTGGTATATACCACAAGGCTAAAAAGCTCTAGGACTAGAGAAGTCATTGTGATTGTAGGTCCTTCATATAGGGCTTGAAAACCATTTTCTCTTAGCCAGCAAGGTGTTGAGCTTAAGTGCATTCAAGATTACTCCTTCTGCCAAGTACCTGAAGTGAAGGTATTTTCAGCTGTAAGTTAAATGCAGAGCCACGATATGTTGATCTAAGGTAGGACTCACCTCCTTTCTTAAAAATTGAGCTTAATAAAGATGTAAGTCTCAAATAGCACATTATTCCAATTGGAACCTGAGGGAACATTTATCAATAGAGCCAAGATTTTTCTTCAAGAGCATTTTGGGTGCATTCTGACACAGAGATAAATAACCAGAAATTCGATGTCATAACGTATGACTGAAACAATTTCAGCCTAGAAAAACTTTTAAGTACTCCTTGGCCATTAAATAAATCCAACTTAGTAAAGCATCCAGTAAAGTACCTCTTTATCAATAGAGCCAAGATTTTTCTTCAAGAGCATTTTGGGTGCATTCTGACACAGAGATAAATAACCAGAAATTCGATGTCATAACGTATGGCTGAAACAATTTCAGCCTAGAAAAAATTTTAAGTACTCCTTGGCCATTAAATAAATCCAACTTAGTAAAGCATCCAGTAAAGTACCTCCTGCTTACAAGCAACGGAAATTCTTACACATGTGACAGGCTGAATTACTGTTCTCAATTCTTCACTCTTCTGTAGTAATGTTATATATCCACACCATTGCCACGGCCTCATCATAGACAAAATATTCACCCCGACCCCACAGCTTTGAGCTTGGTTATGTGACTTGTTTTAATAAAAGTCGGTAAGCAGATATGGCATGAGCAAAGGCTTAGAACGTGTGTAGCAGGGCTTACTCTCTTGTGCTCCTGCCTTTTGTCAAGAAAAGAATACACCTCAGATAGCTACTGGTCCAAGGAAGACGAGTAACAATGGACCAAACCTAGACCCAAGAAACAGCTTGGAACCAAGCCCAGATTAGCTCAGCTTTGATCAGCTGAACCCCAATATGTGAGCAAGAAATGAAGGTTTAGGTTTGTATGAGTTGTGGGATGATTTCTTATACAGCAATATTGTGGCAATTAATGACAGATACAGTAGATACAGGTTGTAAGTTGTAAAATAGAAATATCAATAACTAAACTGCTACATGTACTATTGGCTATAAATCACTGGGGGCTTACATATTAAGGTCAGATTTTTTTTTTCCTTGAGAGATGGTAATAGCATACCAAAGGAACAATTCCCATCTACTTTGACTACGTTACTGACAGATATGTTTTGGACTGTTTTTCCATCTAAAAGATTTATGTTCTAATAGCTCAGTGGTGTACCAAAGGCAGGGAGGCAGGAGTGATAAGCCCTGGTAGGGATTTAACCCTGAAATTGTAATTTAGAATTGTTGATGCATGGTAATAAAAAGGAGACTGAGTTTTAATTGGTTTCATTACTATTTTTAAATTCTCTACATGTGATGTATCCCCTTATTGTCTGGAACTGGAACGCACTGTTCCCCTATACCACCCATCCTGGTGAGGACAAGACAACTCCTAATTGTTTAGAACAGAGAATTCCAAAAATGGAATTCTCAGAAATAACTTACACAAAATACCTAAGGTTAAATATATTAAGTGCAGGTAGTGCCAAAAGTTTATTCATTTATTTTATTAATATTTAAAGCTTTATAAAAGTTAATCACAACGGAAAAAGTAAGGCCTCTGAATTACAACTAAATTGGCATCATAGTAGGAAATTATCTCAAATGTAAAGCCAATCAACTAAGTGGTACTTATTCACCCCTGAAATATATTAAGACCATATGAACCACTTGGTCTCAAATTCCATTTTGGTGTAGTTTTCTAACTTTCTTTATTCATTAATCTGATTTTAGAAATATAGATAACCACTCTATTGCTGAGGGCAAATGAAAAGAGTACTAACAAAAGTACTCCTGGATTTCTTTTAGTCAATTAAAATAAGTAATGAAGATCATAAAGATAATGTGAGTCTCATTCATTATCAATATCTTCATAATTAAGAAGGGTGAATTTTTTGTGTGAAAAAAGCTACCACATTTCAGTTCAAATTTTAAAAATTTAAAGGAAAAGCAGCTGCCTCTTTGATTTCTTGATTTCTTTTTCAAAATAGAGTAAATAAGGACACTGTTAAGGGGTATAGTTCATGAATAATTTTTGGAAGTTCTGAAGCCATAATCCTTTCAATTTAAGAATATTCAGAACTACAATAATTGGAAGATGCAGCTAAAATGAAATTAACTTCAAATTAGAGTAATATTTATTCTATCTTTTATATAAAATATAAGTAATGTTACATATAAAAATATATACACTCTCTCTGGTATATATTACTGATGCCTTTGTTTTTACACAATTAACAAACCCCAAGCTGTAGGTATAAAAGTACAAATTAGCAATAGAATGAAACCAAATGAGTATCTCAAGAATACATTTTAAATCTTGTTTTTACTAAGCAAAGTTTACTTACATCTAAATATTAAAAGTTTACATACCTGATGTTCCAAAAACTATATCCCAAGGGGAACTAATGGGTTGCTGTTCTCCTTTTGCTCCACCTTCTTTATCTGTACCTTGAATTCCAATGCCAGCTACGGTGCTCACCTTCTCAGCTTCTAGGTCAATCTATAGAAATTTCATGGATGTTTTATGCAATGCATGTTACTTACATGTTACTTCTACTTTTTTTCTTTTTAGTACATAAACACTTCCAATAGAACACTCAGAGAGCATGTGCAACACAATGTTAAAAGAAAGGCTAAGCAATTATCAGGTGAACTTGTTATTCAAATGCACACAACCAGTCCCTTTCATTTTCCCACCTGTCCAATCCCCCACTTTCCTCCACTAACCCCCTTCTCCCATCATGCCTCCACCAGAATTGGTGTTGACCTTAACTATAAAATATTTTAAAAGAAAATGAAATTTTAAATCACAATCTAACAAAATAGTTCTTAAAATTAAATGTGCATATTTCAATTGTGCTCAGCTAGTATAGAACTTAATATGTGCCAAGCACTGGTCCAAGAGCAAATCAGCCAACCAGCCATCCTCGTAATAACCCCATGGCTCTGATTTTGACTGTTTTAGAGGAAACTGAGACACAGGTCATTCAGTAAATTTCCCAAGATCCCACAGCTAGTAGTAGGTCAAGGATCTGGGATTTGAATCCAGGCAGTTCCATGATACTATGTTGACATGACTTCATAAACTGAAAAACTAACAGATTTTCCTGGGAAAAAATGCCCTGCTTTCATCTCCTGAGGCTCTCTTCCCAAAATTTTATCATGAAAATTTTCAAACGAACAGAAAAGTTGAAAGAATTTTGCAGCAAATATCCACATATCCACCACCTCGGTAGATTCTACTATCAACATTTTACTTTCTTGCTTTATTACATATTTTACCAGGCTATCAATCCTTCAATCCATTTATATTTTTTGATGCATTTCAAAGTAAATTGCAAAGATCAGTACACTGTCATTAAAACACTAGTATACCACTGTGGTTTTAATTTACATTTCCTTCTTAACATGTTGAACACTTTATGTGCTTGTGGTCATTCTTATAACTTCTTTTGAAAAATGTCTGTTCAAATCTTTGGCCCATTTTTTACTGGGTTGTCTTCTCATTTTTCAGTTGTAGGAACCTTTATATATATCACAGATACCAGACCCTTGAAACATATGTTTTGTAAGTTTTTGTTAGTATTTCCTGACAGCCTGTGACTGGGTTGTCTTCTCATTTTTCAGTTGTAGGAACCTTTACATATATCACGGATACCAGACCCTTGAAACATATGTTTTGTAAGTTTTTGTTAGTATTTCCTGACAGCCTGTGGCTTGTCTTTTCATTTTCTTAGCAGTAAATTATAATGAGCAGACATGTTAAATTTTGATAAAGCCTAACTTATTTTTTTCTTTTATGATTGTTTCTGTCCTGTCTTGGGAAGCCTTTGCCTACCTGCAAATCACAAAGATATTCTCAGCCATCCTACGGGTGTGAAGTGGCTTCTCACTGTGGTTTTGCAATGCATTTCCCTAATGTCTAATGAGGTCAAGCACCTTTTCCTGTGCTTATGGGCCATTTGTATATCTTCCTTTGAGAACTATTTTCTAAAAGCATTATGGTCTTAGCTTTTACATTTAGCTCTGTGATGCATCTTGAATTGATGTTTGTGTATGGTGTGTGAGTATACAGTTGTTTCAGCACCATTTGTTGAAATAATTTTCCTTTCTACATTTGATTGCTTTGATGCTTTTTGGAAAATCAATAACTGCATAGGTATGGGCCTACTTCTACACTCTCCATTCTTTTTTTTTTTACTGACCGGTAACGGGATCGCAACCCTCGGTGTCACACCCGTACCGGGGA